AGACGAGTGTAATGTGCACCCTTCTAACTTCTCTCCGTGTTGCTGTCTAGGCACTCCCGAAAGCATTGCACATCTCCTGCGCTGCTTTCGACGGCGATGCGTGTGGTGTTGTCAATTACGGATACTGGGGAATGAATGTGGAGGCCAAAGAACGTTACAACCTCTCTCTATTCGCCAGCGCGGTGGGTAAGCTCAGTACTAATACCAAGAGTATATAACCCCCGGGGGGTTATGTACTCTTGCTAATACTATACTGCTGCCATACAGTATTTGGTATAGTACAGTATGGGTTCTGGAAGCCACACGAGTTGCTGTTCGACATTAGCCTTCATTGTGATCGGTTTGTCCTGTAACTCTAAGCTTCGCCGAGGAGACCTAACAAGGTCGAAACGGCATCCCCGTGTTTATCGCATTTAGAGCACTCAGACTTTAGGCTGTTTAGCGCTTTCAGCCGGTTTAAAACAGCTTCGTTGTTCATTAGACTTCAGCTCCGCCGAGGAGACCTAATAAGCGGGTCGAAACAGCATGCTGTCCGGAGATTGAGTAAGTCTAGCACATGTAATATGTAAGCAAGAACTGTTCTCTGAGTTTGAGCCACTTTAATTTGTTGTTCATTAAACTTCCTTGCGATCAGTTTGGCCAGTAACTCTAAGCTCCTAATAAGGTCGAAACAGGTAGCTGTCCGGATATTGAGTAAGTCGAGTAATACGTAAGACTAGTGAGAACTGTTCTCGGAGCTGAACAAGCTGCATTGCTTTCTGCCTCCGCTCCCTGTGACTCATTGTGCATGTGGCAGGTGATACAAAGGCTCCAGCAACCGTAACAGCTACCCTGGCGAAAACCAGCGATGGCACAGCGCTAGGTTCATGCACACTTCGTCTGGGCCAGGAAGGTAGGATCAAGAGGAGAAGATCATTTGTACCATTCTACATGATTCTACATTAGACGCACACGACAACTAGTACTGCATCTCGATCATCCGGATGTGTTGTGATGTGTTGTGATGTGTTGTGTCCATGAGCCACATGATAATGACAAACGAGCATTGTTGCCTGTGCAGTACGTACAGTCAACTTCCCTTATAACGACACTCGGCGGGGCAGCAGAAAAGTGTCCTTATTCGCGAAGTGTCGTTATACCCGAAGTCTCATTATAATGTGTCACAGTTGGATGGGACTTTGCTCTGGGCATGAAATGCTGTCGTTATTCGCGAATTGTCGTTATATCCGCAGTCGTTATTCGCGAATTGTCGTTATATCCGCAGTCGTTATTAGCGAATTGTCGTTATATCCGCAGTCGTTATTAGCCAAGTTGACTGTATAGGTACATTATAATCCAGCAAAGGTTCAGCAATGGACTGGTCTGTAGTTTTCTTCCCCGTCACACCCGAGGTCCAACACACCTGTGCCGTGAATGACCAGTGTGGTGAGTGATGCTCTCTCCACCTGGTTGACTCTTCTGCTGCTGTGCTGCTGCTGCTGTTCCTATGCTCTTCAGGCAACTGGACCCGGACGCAGTGCGTTATCACAGCCAGTGCTTCTTGCTCCAATGCACACTTGCAGCTCATTTTGGAGGGCGAACTGCTGGTCAACGTGGTACGTATCTATCGTTAGGAAGTGGTATTCACCTCAAGACCCGCCCCTCCGCCCCCCCCCCCCCCACACACACCCATGTATACAGTGGAATGGTTGGCCTACGACACGCTGATACGCACAATATTGCAATTTGGTAATGTTGCAACGTTGAGGGGTGGGACTCTCAGCCTAACCCAGTACGGCTGGTATTGGTTTGTGAATCATTATAGATCCTACCTCCCTACCAGGAAATCAGCTCCTATTCTGTTTCTGTTTTCGTCTTCCTATCCTTACTCCAACCATTGATTCCTTCAAACTAACCACCCGTCCCCAGCAGCTCCGTCGTCGCCAACAAAACCAGATACAGCATGCACATACGGATGCGAACATGTATTTAGAGGGATTGGAAGTTTACAGTGTTGAAGCATTGCTACATCGTGATGTGAACACCATGCATGTCTACGTGGACACTACCCGACCAGGCAATATGAATGCCTTTACAGTCAAGCCACCACCTTGCAAAGAGCAAAGACGCAGATGCAGCTCCCAGGAGCGCTAGTAGTATGGTTCCTATCACCCGGTATATGCCAAAAATGAATGCCATTTTTTGGTAGCAGTTCCAGTGCGTGGTGAATGTAGTTTGATGCATGCCGGTTCCTATCAGGGAATCGTAAAATACCGGTAGTATTTACGACTCCTGGTTCCGTTCACATGTGTATGTAATGTACATGTACAATTGTAGGTCTCTCTGATGCCAGCCGATCTACCTGGCGGCTATCCGTTCAGAAAGGACCTGTTTGAAAAGCTTCAGGCCATCCAGCCGGCATTCGTACGTTTTCCTGGGTAAGAACACACACACACAATTATGCACATTGTAGATCGCTGATGCCAGTGGGGCATGGTGGCAAGCCCCATGTCATGAGAATATTATCGGAAGACACTTGACACTGTACTGTACTAACCATGCATGTACATGTACCTCTTTGCCGCAGTACTGTAGCACCCTGGGCCATGGGGAGACCTCTGCCTCTAGAGCTCTGTTGGTCTACTTCTGAAGTAGTCTAGCACGGAATTGGGCATTACTGTCCGGGGATGAGTGCATTACTGTCCGGGGATGAGTGTTTCTAAAAAGATTGAAGTGTTATCAGGAAATGGAAAGACCAGTAAAAGTAGCATACGTGTATTCCTTTTGCTTTGATTCTTACTTGATGGTTTCACTCGATTGGCTTTGTCAATAAACCAGTTCTCAAGTAATATTACGACACATGTGATGTAATGACCTGATGCTTAGTAGAGCAGGGCTTATTTTGCTGTTGTTGTTGTTGTTGTTGTTGTTGTTGTTGTTGTTGTTGTTGTTGTTGTTGTTGTTGTTGTTGTTGTTTGAAATCTTTTATTCTCGTTGAATTCTTTATTCTCACGATGGCACCATCGCCAATAAGAGATAACTCGTTGTTGTTGTTGTTGTTGTTGTTGTTGTTGTTGTTGTTGTTGTTGTTGTTGTTGTTGTTGTTGTTGTTGTTTGTGTTGTCGTCGTCGTCGTCGTCGTTATTGTAAAAAGACGTCCTGATGTTGACACCTTACTATAATATAATTATGTATGTTGATAAACAGAAAATGCAGCATCGTTCGGAAGATTACTTTTAAAAAGCAGTATAACCCATGCCATGGTTAAAGTAAAGCTTTATGCACAAGAGCGACGACCATGTGGATTATATCCGAACAGTACTTGCAGTCCAGAACCAATATTTCCAGTTTTCACGTTCATTTTATCGGCGTCCTGAACTCCTGACTGGTTTGAAAATGGAAAGAATGATTGTGGTGTATTGTTTTCATGTGTGTTTCATAGTGGCTGCTACGTCGAAGGCGATAAGCTGGCCGATGCATTTCGCTGGAAGCCGTCCGTCGGCCCAATACATCAGAGACCAGGACATTACAATCTGTGGGGCTACTGGAGTGATGATGTATGTAACAGTTGCATGGCATACACTGTATTGTGGAAATACATGTATTCTACCTAGTAAAGAACGAGTACACGCATGTACTCTCAAGCAGGGCAACGTATACATACTAGAAAATGTAATGCAATTTCAAAATAAACTGCCACACCTCAGGGCCGTACTGACTATGCAATCATATCGGAATGTTCATGGTTCAATTACACTTTGATAATAGATGAACACTTCCGAGCAAATGATCAGAAAGGAGATACAACCGCAGGCAGAGGCAGGAGTATACTCCTGGAAGAAGAAATGCTTGTAGCGAACAGAGCATATTCAGTTGGTGGCATCTGAGGTCTGCTACGTGACCAGTAGGGGATCATGCTTCGTGCGCAATATCTGTATGTACCTTCCTTGCAAGAACGAAATCAAGTAGAATATGAATACATGTACATCATGTTGATGCTGGATATACAGCAAGGAAACAGGATCGAAATGAGAGACGAAAGATTCGCTCCTCGGGGCTCTCCTGTCGCTTCTTTCTCCTTGCTATGTGGAAAGTCCCGTTAAGGCACAAACGCAGTGGAGCACTCTGCTTCTCACGCCAACATACTGTTTTGGCACACCACATACAGAAAGCACAATGAAATCTCCCCCTATTACAAGTACCATACACATGTACTTCAGAAGTACTTCAGTACTTGTATGATCTGATACTACTCTAGACTTAGCTAATGTGCGTGCTTGAAGGTTCTTTATCTCTCTCTCTCTCTCTCTCTCTCTCTCTCTCTCTCTCTCTCTCTCTCTCTCTCTCTCTCTCTCTCTCTCTCTCTCCCTCTCTCTATCTCTCCCTCTCTCTCTCTCCCTCTCGCGCTCTCTCTCTCCTCTCTCTCTCTCTCTCTCTCTCTCTCTCTCTCTCTCTCTCTCTCTCTCTCTCTCTCTCTCTCTCTCTCGCTCTCTCTCTCTCTCTCTCTCGCTCTCTCTCTCTCTCTCTCTCTCTCTCTCTTGCTCTCTTTCTCTCGCTCTCCCCTCTCTCCCTGTCTCTCTGCTACAGGGTCTGGGTTTCTATGAATATATGATTCTGTGTGAGCTACTGGGAGCTGATCCTGTGTGGGTGATCAACAACGGCATATCGCACACTGATGAGATTGCTACTGCCGACATTGAGCCTTGGGTTCAGGATGCGCTGGATAGTTTGGAGTTTGCCACTGGACCAGCTACCAGGTAACGTTTTCACGAAGATCAGTGCTGAAATGATGCTCAATAGTTCCATTAAATGATGGAGTTGTAATGGAACAGTCTGAAGAAACACTGCAGTCATCACCAGGGCTCGAACCAAGGGGCCTTTACTATCGGCCAGAGGTGCTGAACAAGGCAGTGTCACCATAATACTGCATTTGCACACGCTTAGGAATAGGTACTACACGTAGCTGTAGTATTGTGTCCAACTGTACATACATGTACGCAATCGGAACATTTGCGGTACAAGAAAGTCTCTGAATTAACGTGCAGTGGTAATGTTATCAGAGGAGATGCCTATAGTTCGAAGGTGACCATGTCCTGACAAAACAGTTACCATGACTCTTGGTCGCCTGTCCCTGCAGCTATTGGGGCTCGGTGCGTGCCAGCATGGGTCGCACGGAGCCCTTTTCACTGAGCATAATGGCAATTGGCAACGAGGATTGTGGTAAGGTGAGTGACAAGACACAACATTTCGGAGTGCTTGACATGATGATGAGACTAAGCTGGCGTGAAGGGTGACTGGCGCCAAGCAAAAACCAAAATTTAATGCTCATATTTCGAGGCGCGGCTGAATTGTGATTGTGGAGCAGTTCACACTAATGGTAAAGATAACGTAGGTCGTAGGGAGGTGTATCGATTGTACCCAGTGGCTGATCTACTCACTGCTACTATCCTACTGTCCTTCATTACAGCCAAACTACCTGGGGAACTACATCAAATTTTACAGGGAGATCAAGGTAAGGGTGGTCTTCGTGTATGAATCATAGATGGAATGCAGATTATAATTTTTTTTAATGGTATTACCTGTAGGCTGAGGGCAAACGGAAGTACTGTACTGTATGGTCAGGTACATTTAAGGGTGATTTTCACTATCTTAACCATTCTACAATATCGACATGACTGTATCTTCACTGACGAAAGTTGTATACTCGAAACGAGGAAAGCAGAAATTCAGGATGGCAAGTGAAAAAGCCAGCTGTACATGTACATGTATACTTGTGTCTGCACATGTACATGCAAATCACAATTGTATTTTCATATGTCTGATCGTGTACCGCAAGATTCGCTATCCCACCATGCGACTGATTGCCAACTGCGATCTCAGTACTCACAATCCACCAGCCAAGACCGACATCTATGACTATCACATGTAAGTTACGCAGATTGAAGAGACTACATAGTGCATGTAGGGTAGTTCCTTCAAGCAGTCTTAAAAAGGTGGATACTGCGTCAAAACATGTGTATCATACATGTGTATCATCTCTCAAAGTGTGAAGACTCCACTGTAGCCATCCACTATTTGAAAATGATGACAGTATCTTTTTTTTCTTTTAGTGATTGGTGTAGCCCAGAGACCGTTTGGAGAGTGTTGTGAAGGTGTATGGGTACATATGTATCAGCCAGAGTATCTATCGGACCACTTGCTCTGGACGTAGCCATGCGTCTGACTGTATGCCACGTATAACTGTTTGACAGTATACCTCTGTCGTTCGTTTCGATAGATACACCAACTCGGAAACGTTCTTCGCTGGAGTCGAGCGATTCGACACGTTCGATCGCAACGGTCCCTTGGTGTTCAACTCAGAATACGCTATAACCCAGTAAGGCCCTGTTGTAGTCTGGTATTTGTATACATACGTACATGTACCTAACCTCTGCTCTCTCCTCTATCTGCATGATAACGTCAGCATTCTGCCCAGCAACGTTATGTTACATAGGGCTATGCAGTGTGGTGATATTTTAGTATTCCATTGGAACGTAACTGTTACTTTTCCTTTGTCTTTTCTTTTCTTTTCTTTTTTAAACTTCGGCCAGTATGACTACTTGAGCTAGAACGCCAAACAGATGTGAGAACGAAGTTTGACAAGATCATTCGCCACCGGTTGGCGGATGAAGCACAGCGTGATCGCGCTGGACAGAAACAATTTCTATTTCCGTCATGTCTCAAAGACATGTTTAGCTGACCACGGCCCGTATGTTGACAACGTTTAAAAACTATGAAAGTGACCCAATTATGATCAAATAGTCTGTCACTTTGACCAGAAGTGTTGGGAACTGGCAGAATGAGAAAATTGAAGCGTATCTCCTCTGGGTCTCCCTTGTCAAATTAGCCTCCTGGATTACGTCAAGCCGAACTCAGGTACTGTCCAGACCAGGGAGTCGTCAGATACCGGTATTTGACGACTCCCTGGTCTGGGCGGTGCACGGGGATGAAAAAATGGTGCACAGTGGGAATCGAGTACCTGGACAAATGCATGGAAGCAAGAGTACATTTCATGTACTTTTGATGGAAGCCGGATGTATGTGTGAGAGGGGCGTACACCAGGGGGTCGTCAAATACCAGGGAGTCGTCAACTACCAGGGAGTCGTCCTGTATCATGTGCATTCGCGGTTGTAGGCGTTTAAATTTTGGTTTGAAATTTGCACCCTCCTGCGGAGCCCACGCTGCTTTGGCAGTGGCGGAGGCTCGCTTGCCGACGTAACCGTCGGAGATCATCATGAACAATGGACTGACTAATTATTCACTTGTCCTGTCTTTATAAATAACATGTTATTGCATATGTTCTTGGTTTAGTTTTTGGCCTTTTTCGTGCTTTGGAGTTGATAACATTTTCCTCACTATCGAAAAAAAAAAAAAGTGCGTATCGCGCCGCCGGCAAAAAAAATAAATACCAGGGAGTCTGGAGCAAAAAAAAGAAGCAAAAAGAAATGTTCCCACACCGGGAATCGAACCCGGGCCGCGGCGGTGAGAGCGCCGAATCCTAACCACTAGACCATATGGGAGACACAGCAATACATCAGTGCAGGCAACACTACATTGTAAAATGCTTTTTCGAATAGAGAAAGAGAGGCGGGATGACACATTGACACTACAACTAACTACTTACAAGGCATACCTGTACGAGTAGATTACAGTCGGATATAACCTGCTAACGGCGGCTTGTTGATTGAACTTCAAACACAATGACGGAGTGGGTGGCAGGGAGATGCACATCTTATCTCCTTGTTGCCTTGGACTAGCCACCTGAGAAATGTCGACATCAGTGTCAAATCATGTGAAATTGTGAATCTCTCGTGTCTCCCACATGGTCTAGTGCTGGTAGTGGTTTTGGTTTTGCACAGGTGTCACAATGAAAGTGGCCAGAACCCCCAGATAAAGAGCCTCTGTTGATGTTCCTTCCTTCTACATGTACATGTATGTTTCTGTCTAGCTTTTCTGAACTGTTGTTGTTACACTGTATCGCTTAGTTTTACTTCACTACAATAGATAACAATAGTACCGAAGAGCTGAGCATCTTCCTGCACAACAATCGTTGCATATTATTACGGTATTATACATGTAAATAAAGTCCTTCTTTAGACCAAGAGTGGTACATATGATAAACAAAGGTGGAATGTTCTACGATACTTTTCCAGACGTTTTGTCTTTCCAGAAAAGTATCGTACAAATTCTATCTTTGTTTATCAAATGCACCACTCTCGGTCATGATATTTACTGGAAAGATCACAATGGCAAAGTTTGTCTGAATGCATGAGCCAGACAAAAAGGAAGCAATGGCACGATCCCGAGAAGAATCAGGGAATGGGACGAACATTAATTTGTTGAGGAAAGGAGAAAGGAAGGAGATGAGTGATTAAATGCGTGGCAGATGAGCCACAAGAGTAACCGTGATGCAGTGGTCGCACATTTGCAGTGCGTGTTAGTCATGTAGAGTCAGAGACTCACTGGAGAACCCGATCCCGAGACCCTTGGTCGGGGAGTCCACTGCATCTCACCAGCGCAGCTCATGTAGCAGCTACACACCCATTGTTGTCTTTTTTGTTTCGTCTTCGTTTTGTCTCCCCTTCTTCCGCAGGTATGTGCAATGTGATAAAAAAATAAAATAAAAAAAAGAACGAGGAGGCGACGAAAGAAAGTAACAATGTGGAGCCATGCAAAAGAAAGTATTGACGATGCCAGTTCAAAAGATCTGGGTGTGCCTCATCAGCCTGATCGGGGACTTACATGTATGGGTGTACATAATCACTAGTACGGAGTACCGAAATATGCACAGCCCGGAAACCTCAATCTAACGAATTGTGTTCTTCCCCTCAGGGATGCTGGCACAGGAAACTTGCGTGCAGCGGTGGCGGAAGCAGCATGGATGACAGGTTAGTAGTTAGTAGTCGTGTAAATCGTCATGTACAATCATGTACATGTGTAATTATGGACATTTGTTTTAATTGCTCCATGTGACGTTACATGTATGTAAAGAATAGACATTGACATTGACTCAGTTGGTGCGCCAACCACTGTTTTCCATGTTTTTATTGATTAAATGTGCACAATTCATTGTACATTCATTGCACAATTCATTGTACATTCAAAAGCATATTGTACAGTGTACAATCATACTACAATGTAACATGCACATGATTATGCATTTCTTTGCCCTGGCACGATCTCAACCTTGACCAGTTCCTACTTAGTATCTGACTGATTTAGAGACACGTAATGCTGTATGATCGTAGCGGCCTGCATGCTGGTTGCGGTCAAGACAAATCTACATAACCGATCCTGAGGATTTTGTAGATCTTGGTCACTTCAGTTAAGGTCATGGCATGATTTAATGGCCTCGCTATAGTTACACAATCGTATTCTTGTTCCCACGAAAGAGCCACTGGAGGCTTGAACACGATTTCTGCATAAACTCATCACAGATCACACTAATCGCATTTGCCTTGTTCAAACAATCGTCCAACGTGACACCGACACTCTTAGTAAAGAGTTTGGACACGGCACAAAAGACCACGAGAATGCTTCTTTCGCTATTGTCCTGATACACACAAACTGACTATCACTCGAAAAGAGGGCACGGAACATAAGGTACTAATTGCAATAGGAATGTGTGCATTGTGTGCACTGAAAGCTGAATTCTTCGACAAAACCCTTCCGGCAAGATAAAACATGTTCACTCCTCAATCAGTGGCCATGTACTGCACGTGTGGGAAAATTACGAAACTAACTATCATATGCAATGCTAAAGCGGCCTATCTGCTGCACATTCTACATTGCATAACTAAATAATTATCATCGAAGAACATTCTCGAATACCTGGGTGATGCACGAATTTTGATAGTGCTCGCTTCCGTTAATCGTTTTTCTTTGTAATTTTCCATTCATTTTCTGCTTTAATTCATATTTGCTTTGTTTTCCTAGCTTACTATTGCCGTGGCTGGCTCAACGCCCTTGTCTCAGGGGATTCTGTCCCTGCATTAGCTATGCTTGTCACATGCTATGAGATTGTGTCTAATAATAATAATAATAAATAACACCCAGACGCGCGACAAGAACCTATACTGTACATGTACCCCCATACAGTAATTGCAGGGTACTCGGTTATGCAACAAACTGTGTAACATTCCATGTAATTACCTCGTACCCAGGACTGGAGCGAAACAGTGATGTCGTGGCGATGGCCAGCTACGCCCCACTCTTCGTCAATGTCAACGATCGAAGGTGGAAAGTGGATGCCATCGTCTACAACTCGTCCGAATCGTACGGAACTCCTTCGTACTGGAACCAGGTACATGCACATGTACAATGTCATGCAAAGTGGAAACCGTTCGGCTGTCCTGATTCCCCTGAAATCTACTTTGCCACCATAGATGATCCCTTCAGTGATCTTTCTATCACATAATACTTGCATCCAACACGATGGACTCCATGTAACATGACTATGGCCCCAATAGATGATTATGGGAAGGGACAAGCCTGAGAATGGGTACAGGTATACAATACAGTATGCTACATCGTTGAATCCATAGACACATTGTTGCTAATATTACTACCAGTGCACACGTACATGTAGATGTGTATGTGTAGTTTCACCTGCGCCGCTATTGGTACTTTAATACTGCGTGCATATTAGTCTCGGCTGAAAACACATCAGCAGCCATCATGGCCTGCCTTAGTAAATAACATCGACCATGACATGTTGGGTTTCCACCTGATGATGTGTCTCATGCACCTTGCAGGTACTTTTCTCATCTAGTGCCAGGATGGCCTCCTATCTAGCTTACTTTCAGCTCAACATGAGCACAACAGAAGGTCAGTTTGCTGTTCGCACACACCGACACAATGGCAAGCCGAGACGTGCGGATGATACGGCCCAGATGGCTGCCTCTGTTACCATGTCCAAGGTTGAGCCAGCCTCAGGCATACAAACGGTGAGCGCACGCGCGAAGATGAAATAGGCAGCACGTTGTATGCGTGAAATAGGTACTCATCTGCTGTGTCTCTTCCAGTTCACCCTTGATTTTCTGACGGAATCTAGGAACTACGCTCATGCAGATAGATGTAGATCTCTTGGACCTGGGACACAGCTAGAACTGACACCGTAGCATCATCAATCATCATGCACTGTACATCTTGAAGACCATGCACCGTGGCCCACCCTTCTGCCAAACATGCAGCCAAGGAAAGGATTGCAATTGCGATTCAACGCTCAAATAGCCGCGGTCGTTCATGACACGACTTGGACTCATGATTAGGTCCAATTCTACCCCTCTGCGCAACGATAGATAATAGGGTCCTTAATCGTGAACCTGCAAGTCGATGCACTTTAAGCAGTATGCACCTTGAGCAATATACATGTTCATGTAGTTGTATTGCCTTGCCATGGTAATCGTCTTTGCTTTCTCCTCTTAGGTCTTTGTAAAGGTATCCAACTGGGGTCCGGATGCGCAACTAGACACGACGCTGGAAGGTTTGTCAGGCACGATCCTGGGTGCTACAGTCTGCCAGCTCAGCGGACCCGATCCCGACTCGGAGAACACTCTGGACAATCCCATGCTGGTGTCTGTCTCCAACACCACAGCGTCGTTCAGCGATGCAACAGTGACCTTCCAAGCTCCGCAGTGGTCTGTCAGCCTGCTCACAGTCTCGGTCACCAACACGCTGGCTACATAGTCATCGGAGACATCATAATGCCTGGCTGCCTTTCAAGGATCAAGCAGTGAAGGTGATGCAATGGAAGGCTCTACATTCCCAACGTATGACACCCCAACAAAACGATCTTTGTGGTGATGATATGGAACTCTAAGTCTTTGCAACAAACCATAATACCATATACAATGTACATGTAGATGATGATGATGATGATGACGATGTGGATACTTTATCTGTAAGAAGACGACAGGGCAGCCATTCGCGACGATCCATTTACCTCTGGAGAATCCGTAAAAAAAAACTGAATTAACTGAACTGACCTGAACGATTTGTAAAATCAATGCCGTTTCCTACTTTGACGTACAGTGTATCTTTAATGTAGTGAAGTCATGATCAGATACCAATTATTCCACACAGTTTCCATGGTGATACATGTACATGTACAATTACATGACATTGTATCTAATCTTACATTTTAAAAATCTTTGTTCTTCTATCGTATTATGAATAAGCAGTCGATATGGTTCCCATATGTCGAACGTCGCGTGGAACAACTTGTTATTGTAACTAGTCCCCTCATACTATTATCATAGTGGAGTTCAGTAGGATGTTGGCGATTCGGTTTTTCACAATTCGTCTTCACTTACATTCCCCTTTCTATGTTTATTACATAAACATGAGCCTCCGAAGTTGGGCGGTTTGATGCTTTGCGTCATCATCCAGTAACTTTCGGCACTCTTTGTTTCCGTGGGACATACGTGTACATATTGTACATGTAGCTCGTGCTCATTTTTAGTTGCGCTTTCCTTCCCCTCATCGGACATTTCCTGACATGAGCCTTCCAAAAGGTTGTTCGTTTGCGTCTCTTTAAAAATGTGTTGGAGCTTCATGTACGTGTGTGTGTGTGTGTGTGTGTGTGTGTGTGTGTGTGTGTGTGTGTGTGTGTGTGTGTGTGTGTGTGTGTGTGTGTGTGTGTGTGTGTGTAAATAGGGGCATACCCAAGGGGCTCAGCATGGTGGTTTTTCACGGGCCCCTATTTTGCACACATGTTTATGTACTTGGGCAAATGAGGCAACTTCTCACAACCGCTAGTGTTCTATGATCTTACTACGAAAAATGACAATGGCGTTATTGCATCTGGTGACTTTGCCTTGCAAGCTTTGTAGCTGGACATGTAATTGCTGTTAATATTGTAATCATTATGAGCACCGTATGCTATTGAAATAATTTGTGATATCGAAGTTGGTACGAAGCAGGAGGGATTATTTTGAGGAACAGAATGACCATGATGAGTCCCAAATCTGCAATAACTATAGTCGTTCATTAGGGATTCGTTCGAACTTGAAATGTGCAGAACACTCCTTTACTGAGAGCTTCTCTTCCCAAAGAGCAGACATTTGGAGACAGAACAAGCGTGGACTGGAGAGATTTTCAGCCAGGATACCTTACATGTGTTCTGTTTCTTACATTCCCAGACATCAGAACTCGTTCCTAACGGATACAGAAAACCATCTCTGGATCCTCTATCCACGCTCTTTCTCTCTGAGCTGCTGCTGCTAGCCACCTGACCAAGAAGGAAGCCAGCGTCGAAAGCAGGAAAAACAGTGCAGGTTCTCTTGGCAGTAGGCTCCTCGGCGATGTCGTCCTCAGATTTGGAGGGCTTCAAGCTGCCATTGCTTGTCGGTTCAGGCACGTGAGTCTGGCTTAGCATCACTCTCCGGAACTGGGTCAGTCGTCTTCCAAATCAAGGATAATGGTGGCCAGCGCTGCGACCTTTTTCATTCAAAGGGATACAGCACTCTATCTACGCTCTCGGAAACAAGACAAACACACGACCACAATATCGTGTTTGTTACAGCAGCCTTTTCAGTTTCATCTACACTGTAGCCCAGTAGCTGCACTCGATTTCGACTCCGATTAGGCTACATGATGTAACAGTACTCTGTGGAACTTGACAAGACGATGTTGCGAGAACGCCTTCTTCACTGACTATAATATTCACGTCCCCCCGGGTCAGTCATCAAGTGAATGCCCCTAAAATCGGAAAAGAAATGAAACAAAGTTGTTAGCCTCTAAGTAACGAACTCATGGCGGTGATGCGTGGTTGGGAAGTGTCGCTTGTATTCGATATATCCAGTCGTTTTTCAGCAGTATTCAACAGCGACTAGAGTCGAGACCCAGGTACATGTATGTCAAATAACTTCCACTGTTCTCTCTTTTCGGTGCTATTGGTCACGTTTGGGTTTATCGGGGTTTAGCGGCCGTCGCGAGTTCCCTTCGGGAACGGATACGATAATTTACTTTTTTTTATTGGTCACGTTGGCATTCCTCCATGTCACTCTTGTTTCGATAGAACGTCTCAAGATTATAATTATACTGATTGGCTTCCTAGAAGGGAGATTGCAGTGACACGAAATAGAATAGAATAGCACAATTTCAATACAAACACATGTCATGTGTTCGTATCACGTATGTACCTGAGATGTGGTCGATTCAAATGCTGTTTGATCGTGGAAATACAGAATAATTTAACGACTATGTAAAACATGTTCCCGTACGGATGTAGACTACTTGCTCTTCGGTAACACCCTGCACAGGTATGAATGTAACTTGTAAAGCCTTGCCAAAGGAAACTCTGGTTTATTGAAATAATTGCTGACAACTCGGAATCACGAGAAGGAGTGTGCAGCTTGCAGTGTGAAAGTGCTCCCGAATGTGCATTCCTTGCGAACAGCTGCATAAACGCGTGGATAACGAGCTGCAATTGTGAATACACAGTCGCCATGAAACCCTCAGAACGTGTTTTGATTCATCAAAATCATCAGCGCACTTTCCTCGTGAAGTGCTCTCCAGAACGTTAGGAGCCCTCCGTGCATGGCAAAGAAACATTTATATTCTTTTGCTCAAGCAATGCACTCAGTTTTCCACGAAGCAAAGGGGAACACAATGTAGCTAAGAATCCTAGGATCCGTCCACGCATCCGAGACAGGCATCGTGGACCACGCAAATGTAGTTATTCTTTAACTTCACAAACCTTCACAAGGGTCTGGCGTTCGACAGGTGCGCACCCAAAGAAGAATGAACAGAGCCATATCCATAGGCTGATAAACCGCCAGTATGACCTTTCATCTCACCACATCGCATCCGAAAGAGGAACAGGGTCAACAAGTTACCCAACATATTCAAGTTATTTCGGACTTGTAACATTGCCACAACGGCGTTTCGCCGAAGGAAGCTCTGTATGGCCTGCAGCATACAGGATTCATATCTGCCGGGAATAAAGACTATTGTATCCCAGTGCAGCAGTGAGTATCCCAATTCGGCAGTGAGTGGAGTTCAGGAGAGGGCAAGAGAGAGAGAGAGAGAGAGAGAGAGAGAGAGAGAGAGAGAGAGAGAGAGAGAGAGAGAGAGAGAGAGAGAGAGAGAGAGAGAGAGAGAGAGAGAGAGAGAGAGAGAGAGAGAGAGAGAGAGAGAGAGAGAGAGAGAGAGAGAGAGAGAAGAGAGAGAGAGAGAGAGAGAGAGAGAGAGAGAGAAGAGAGAGAGAGAGAGAGAGAGAGAGAGAGAAGAGAGAGAGAGAGAGAGAGAGAGAGAGAGAGAGAGAGAGAGAGAGAGAGAGAGAGAGAGAGAGAGAGAGAGAGAGAGAGAGAGAGAGAGAGAGAGAGAGAGAGAGAGAGAGAGAGAGAGAGAGAGAGAGAGAGAGAGAGAGAGAGAGAGAGAGAGAGAGAGAGAGAGAGAGAGAGAGAGAGAGAGAGAGAGAGAGAGAGAGAGAGAGAGAGAGAGATACAACATGGCAATCATGGTGTTCGTGTTTAATACATTGTATATACGGGTCTCATTCAGCTATTGAAGTATACAAGTCATACCAGAAGACAATACAGATCTAAGCAAACGACATCCAGTTTCCGTCTGGATCACGACGCACTACAACTGTATTGCGAAATCGGTGCTCCTGCCGAAAATGCAATGGAACAATGTGTGAGGGTTGAGATGATCATTTTGCAGCACAGGTACGCGGTCAACATTCAAATAGAGCCATTAGGGGCACTGAAGGGATAATTTGTCAGATCAATGCCTTGCTTTGCAAACACATCGACAAGCAAGAACCCATGAATTCGATTACAAAATACAAATACAAACCCTCTGTTTGCCGTAGCCATGCGTCATCCGCCCGCTGTTAGCCACATTTTACTAGTAATTTGTAGATCCTGATGTTATCATGTCCATCTCGTCTGCTTAGACTGGATACATGTTGTTCGGCTTCTCGCTATGCCTCGGCCTCAAGTCTGGGAGAACGAAATTGGTCAACAGTACAGCAGTCCTAACCCTCTCAGTTTCGATGTTGTCTGCACCCGCGTATGTCCGACTCCTCAACGAATCCGGACGTATCCTAGCCGCACCAAGCTCCCACACACAATAGGTTACTGGGATCAAGATTAGCTGAACATACACTAACCTTTAGTACATTCTTGTGCAGAAGTATCTCGTCGTTAGTGCCTACGACTGCATGCCCGTGTTTGTCATCACAAGAGAACATTCCTAGATACGTATGGGTGGGTGTTGCGAGCTTTCACGGAAATCAGAATGGCACACGGGTCGTGACTCACTGTCCTCAACTACTAACTCCCTCCCATTTCCAGACTCAATTTAGGGAGACAAAGGATTGAGTGCCAGATAAACAGAATCATTCACAAGAACATGTCTCTTTCGATCCTTCGAGCCATTGAGGAGCTTCTCGACAATTGCACTAAGTGTCAATGTGGAAGAGACGCCGAGTCCGTGCTAGCACTAAGTCTGACACCCTAAAGCGAGGCTGACAAGAGGTGTTGACTTGGTTGTAACAAAAGAAGCACTTTCGTGGAGAAATCACCCAGGAATGCTTCACATTGAAATGACTAGCCCACGAACTATGTACTATATCCGCTTTTACCTTCAGAGCGATATTCTCGCGGTTTGGCCAACTGCTACCACTTCTTCACTTCCCTCACTCTTCCCTCCTTATCGGTGGTGAACATGGGTATTTACTTGATAAGAAACGTGAGATGCACACACCAGGGTCAACACCCGAGACAAAAGGAGCAACTCAATTTGTGGCTAAGGCGAAGAATGTCACGCTGCGTGAGTGCGTATCAGTGAGCCAAAGTCGAGTGCTACCTTTCCAGAATTGGCTGTCAGAAAGGCAACTGGCCTCTCCATCCTCTCCGTGCTCCTTACGATGTTCCTGTCAGCAATGACTTGGGTAGAGTTTGTAACGAAGCACTTGCTTAGATCTACTCTACCCTACCACATACACAGAGTAACTTGGACAACCTGATCGCCACTCGCGGAGATGTACATTGTACTCCCATGCAATCAGCTTCCCGAAGATCAGTGAAAGTACTACGCTGCTAGAGCAACGCTCTAGCTCCAATCCACAATGGGACTTGGCAAGAATCCACCCAGCTACTGCCCCTGTCCCTGGGACTCGTTAGCACCTTGGTCTTGCCAGAACTCGCTGGTAGATGATGCAGTGAACCCAGTGAATGGACTCCTGCTGCTGCTGCTGCTGCTGCTGCTGGGTAAGTATTCTTAGTGCTGCTGCTACTTGCTATAACTGTATAATACTCACTCAGTTCTAGTATGTCCCATCGACATGACGATAGTGTCGTTGCATGCCTGTACGTGTAATAGTGGATGCAGTGTAGGGCGTAACACTAGCACTAGCAGTGGGGGCGTGGGGGAGGTGTGAG